CCCGTGGTAACGTGTCTTGGTGAAAGAAAGCAGGAGTTTCTGATCACAGACCTCCATGAATTGTCAGAACTGGGGAAACCAGGAACCCGGAAGTTTCCTCTAAGGAAACTGGCTCTCGCCAAAGAAAACCCTTCTGCTGCCAAAATGTGGGAGGCCCCCTGCAGCACATCTGGGTCACCTTGTTGATAACCCGATTTTCAAACCTGTCATTTGACAGATTTCAGCTATCCACACAGAGCATCCAAGAGCGTCCTGCACGTCACTCTTGAGTAGGAATGGACAGCCAGTTTTTATCAGGCATTGTAGGAAAGTCTCCAAGGTGAGAAGCAGAGGCCAAAACTCATGAACAGTCAAAAGGAACTTGATGAAGCAGAGATAATACAGGGAACAGAGAAACGTTTAAAAATAATCCCAATAGAGGGAAAAGGGTAGATCGTGCCTCTACGAAACAAGGACAGGATTCCATAAAAAGGCACACTTAGAAAATAAGAATGGTCCTTTAGACATGAAAAGTCTGTTAGCAGAAAAGAATTAATTGAAAAGTTGGTATTTAGAATGAGGAACTCTTGCACAAAGTGGAACAAAAAGAAGAAAAACAAAACAGAAAAGATAACAAAATTGGAGAATACGCCTAGAACCTAACAACAGCGAAGTGAAAGGAGTTCCAGAAAGAGAAAATAAAGTAGATGTCTGGAAATTATTGAAAAATTACTCCAAGAGGCAGGGAGGGTGTAGCTCAGTGGTAGAGGACATGCTCAGCATGCATGAGGTCCTGGGGTCACTCCCCAGTACCTCTGTTAAAAAAATAAACCTAATTACCTCCTGCACACCAAAAAAAAAAAATTATACAATAATAAATAAATAAAATATTTAAAAAATTAGTACAAGAATATTCCCAAATTGAAGGTCTCGATTTAAAGAGTGTCTGGATTGAAACTTTGTACAATAAATACAAAATGACCCGACCAGCTTCAAGTCATATCATGAGAGTTCAGAATACTGGTAATAAGGAAAAAATGCCAGAAGTTCTAGAGAGAAAATACTAAAGATCAGGGTTCATAACAACACTAGTGCCAGAAGCTTACAATGTCATCAAAATTCTGAGAGAGAATGACTTCCAACCTAGCATGTAATCAGATCAACTCTCCATCAAGTGTGAGGGCAGAACTAAGACACGGAGAGTATGTAAGGTCCTCGAAAATGCATTCCCTCCTTCCCTTCTGGGAGGAGAAGGTGCTCCTCCAACAAGAGGGAGTAAACCAAGAAAGAGCGGAAGGTGGGACTCAGCTCCGACACAAGGCAGGAAAGGGAACCCCCAGAACCAGGGGGAAGGGAAGTCCCAGCAGTGGGAAGGCTTTGAAAGCAAAGAACTCAGACTTAAGAAATAGGTCACCAAGAGATCTTCCGGGGGGATGTCCCCAATGAAAAGGAGGACTAAGAGATGGAGATTTGTACTTGAAGATGTCAAGAGAGTCACTCTCCAGGCTAAGAGTTTGGGGAGATTTTTTTACAGAGAGAACTGAGCAAATCCAAAATCAAAACAAAAGCAAACAAAAACCCCCAAAGAACACTATGTAATTATTCACTCCTGGGAAACCCAGAAGTTGGAGAAGAAAGGAAATTGTACACCATGGGCTCAGCATGTACATCTTAAAGTTATCATCCTGTAAATAATGAATATAGATTTAACTAAAAATGATAATGTAGGTAAAGTGAGAGGTTGAGGGAGGAGAACTGTGGGAAGTGAAGGTCCAAGAGAGAGAAAGCAAGTCCTCATCAGTTACCAGTGGAAGCTAATAGAGAAGTTATTTATACTTACGAAAATAAATACCAGATGAAACAGTGGCATGAATCATGACTGCCCTGGGAGGCAGCAGTGGGGGCTGGAGGCCACTGGTTTTCTTTATAAGCCGTGTAAGTCACACTCTGATTGTTAAAAAAAGATTGTGTGCATGCATTACTTCGATACAGATAAAATTTAAATTAAAAGACGCTGTGAAGTGCTGTTTTTAAAGTGTCCTTATTTTGACTGATGCCCCTGTCGTGTGAATTGTGACAGACCCTCTGAGGGGGACTGGAACAGTCACCTAATCTTTTGTTATTATTTACGTCCAGAATCCTAACCTGACAGAGTTAACTCAACAAATACTCGATGATGCATTTTTAACAACTGACGTGTGAGTACTTGCTGTTTACCCTAGGGGTCGGCACTATTTGTGTGTCCCCTTGAAAGACTTCAAAAAGTAGGGCCTGACCTGCTGCCCTCTCCCCTGTGGGCAGGGGTGTAAGGCCTGGACGGACGGGGCTGCCGGTGGGGGGCTGGGCACCAGGCACACCTGTCCTCCCAGGCAGGCTTCGGGATTCAGGGCGACCGCCGCCTCCCACTGCCCCTGCTCGCCAGGCTGGAAGGCTCCCTCCCCGCAGTCCCTCCGGGGTCCCACCCAGCTCACTGTGACAGAGTCCCCCTCACAGTCTGGGGACAGCTCCAGGTCGAAGTCCTGGAAAATGAGTCTCACGGCAAAGCCCTCTGGAGCCTCGATGTCCGTGGAGCTCTCTTGACCTTTGACATAGGGCTCTGGGTACCCGGGGGATGTCAGCTTCTGGGGCAGTCGCTGGGCCAAGAGCACGGAGCCCTGTGTGGAGCAAGCCTGGAGGACCCCCCAGAGGAGCAGCCACCACTTGTGAGCGGGTGAGGGCAGAGGGGGCCACACCGCTGAGGCCCGGGGCCTGTGGAGACATGGGTGGGGCAGGCAACGCTAAGGGACGAGAGGCCTGGCTTAGGATCCGCAGCTGTGGCCTCAGGCCCTGAGACCTGGGCACTTCTGGCTTCTCCCTAATTATTGCCCCCGCCCGTCGCCCCAATTCCTGGTCAGCCTGAGCTCAGACTGTGAGATTTCCACCATTGCCCATCTTCCTGGAGAGTCTCATCCAAAGCAGGGGCTGCTTTCTGCTTCACTCAACCCCATCCCCACCTGGGGAGGGACCATTAAATATGAGAGTTCCCTGGCCCTGTGAGAGAGAGTGTGTGTGTGTGTGCGCGCGTGCGCGCTCTCGTGCATCTGGCCCGGCTGCTCGTCCCCGTCCCCACCCTTCTTTCCAGCCCCTCCAGGCACTCACATCTTGCCCCGGGAAGCTTGTGGAGGGGGGCTTCCCCAGAGACAGTTCCCCCTCGCTGAGACTGGGCATCTGGAACCAGACATCTGAGCCCTGAGAGGACTTGGCCCAGGCCAGGGAACAGGAAGTGGGGCTGGAGAAGGCCCTGTGGGGGAGGAGGGGAAGTTACTGGAAATGCGTTGGGTAACTGGCCACAGTTCCCTTTTTCTAAATCGTTGGCTTGAGCGCCACCTGCTGTCTGACTCAGGACTAGCTCGCCCACTGCAACTCAGAGGGAAAACCTCGCCAGAACCACGCTGGCCCTCAGAAGAGAGCAGGGGTGGGAGGCACTGACTACTGACTTTTGCATCATTTAAAGCTAACTTTTACCATGCATTTGTCACACACGGTAGCATAGCTCCTTGTGAGTGAGGCTGTCTGTTGCCTTTCATTGGCCAGACCTGTCCCTCCCTGACCTCTCCGCTCAGTCCCTGACCGGCCTGCCTCCCGTAGAAACTGCAGTTTGATGCCCTACCTTCTGCCCCCTCACCAAGCAGGGCGGGGGGGCACTCACCTGGGTCGTCTCTGAATCCTGCCCGCAGCTCTGGACTCTGCTTGTCCAGCAGGGTCAGGCCGGCGCAGGGCGCAGATCAGGCCCAGTCTGAAGCTTCTTTAGGCAAATACCAGGGCCGAGTCTCTGGGCAGAAGCTGCCCTCCCTGCACCCCCAGGAGGGACCCTTGCCAACAGGTTGGTAAGGGGCCAGGAAGCCCTCGTGGAGGCTGGGGCTCTTGTCCTCAAAAGTCAGCCTCAAACTGCTCCCCAGGGACACAAACTCCCTCTGACCAGGGATCTGGTGGCGGGGTTAGGAGTGGGGGTTTGGGGTGTGCCCACTGGGGAGCCTTACTGCTTCTCTGTACCCCTGGAGGCCACAGGGTCACGTCCTGGGGTGGACTCCAGCTTGGTCTAGAAGGTCTGCACCCCTCTGGGGTTCAGCGTCATAGCTCACGGTGGCTTCGTCACACCGTTGTAATAATTGTATATACCTTTTCCCTCCCCATTCCACTGCCCGCAAAGCCTGCCCTGGGCGGAGGAGAGCTCCTCACCTACTCCAGTGCTCCGTCTCTTTTAAAAAATTTTTGTCTGTCTTCCAAAAAATTTTTTTTAAAACAGTTTTTTTTATTGTATTACTTAATTATTTCATTTTGGCAGTAGGGGAGGATTAGGTTTATTTATCTTTAGAGGAGACACTGGGAATTGAACCCAGGACTTCATACATGCTAAGCACGCTCTCTACCACTTGAGCTAGATCTCTCTGAGAACTTCCTGTCTGATAAGCGTCATATTGCTCCGTCCTCCTAGGAGCCTCTGACTTGAGGAGGTAGCTTCCCGTCAGGCTTGGGTATTTTTGTTGTCTCCTGAGTAACAGGGTCACCTTGGAGATGAGGACCCCAAGTACGATAGCCAGAGCATTTGTGTTTCTTATGATCACATCCAGGGAAGGGATGCTAAAGGCCACGAATTCCAAGAACCCTCAAGTTTACTGAACTCGGAGATTGAACGCTTCCTCTTCTTTCTTCTTCCAGCCCTTCTCACAAGGCTGATTCCTAGGTCGCAGCGCAGGGGTTCCTTCCATCAATTCAGATACTTGCAGGCTCTTAAGTTCCTGAAAACCCTTTGAAAAGAACATCAAAGTAATAGGGTTTTACTTTTGTGCTTAAAGGGAGGAGAAGAAATTCCTAAAGATATACTTCTGGTCTAACAACCAAACTGTAATCTCACAAATACGTATGCTTTTTTGGAAGTTGAAGAGGTTAATTAATTAATTAATTTCCGGGGTGGGGGAGGGTCAGTACGTCTATTTATTTATTTATTATTAGTTTTTTTTTTTTTTTTTGGATGGACGTGCTGGGGATTGAACTCGGGACCTCATGCATGCATGCGCTCTATCGTCTGAGCTATACCCTCCCCCCACAGCAGGTTAATTTAAATATTGTTTTCAGAGTAATAAGTTACTGATGGCCAACCAGAGCTGCAGGCTTTTAGGGTTTATAGATGACATCGCGCAGGCTCTACAGCACTCCTTTCTGAAGTCTGCATGTCTTTTTTTAAATTTAGATTAATTTTATTTTTTGAACTTTTTTTATTGAGCTATAGTCAGTTTACAATGTTGTGTCACATTCCAGTGTAGAGCAGTTTTTCAGTTGTACATGAACATACATACATTCGTTGTCACATTCTCTTTCGCTGTGAGTGAAGTCTGCGTGTCTTAAAAGGATTATTTATTTTCACACCAGGGAGACTGAATGTTCTCGATTCACCACTTTATCAGAATGGATTCTGCGAAGCAAAATTGTGCCTGATTTTCTGCAGCTCCAGGAGGAGAGGGATTGTACGCTCACCTTCCTGAGATTTGTTTCATGAGCATTTGTGGGTCTCTGCTTTTTAAAACCAAGCACCAGCATTTCATTACTGAGTATTTAGAGGGAAAAAAAGGCCGGCCTAAGAAGCTTAAAATGTACGAAAGGAAAGAGAAAGAAGCAAACAGATGTGGAACACGTTACGATTTTCATCCACACTTGGGAGGCAGGTCCCTTCCCTTCAGGGCCAGTGTGAGGGCTTGGCCCCAGCGAAGCAGCGGGGCTGTGGCTGGGGCTGTCTCCAGGGCAGGAGGGACAGAAAGTTCTTGGAAGTAGAGTGATTGTCAGAATGGCCTTTAAAAATTTCTCCGGGGTAGACACCACCTGCTGTCTGGCTCAGAGTTAGCTGAAATATTGGAGACAGTTTTTACTCCAGCTGAGGCTTGGTATCTCTGAGACCAGGAAAACCTCTCACCCACTGACATTCAGACTTAACTTGAAGGAGGAGCTGAAGGAAATTTCTGTGGGGGCCACATCAGCTGTCCATTTCTCTGAATTTCCCGATTTCAAAGACTGTTTCCATTTCTTTATGGTCCTGGTCCTCTGTCAGTTGTTCCCTAGCCTGTGGCTGTCTCTGTCCCTTCCTTTCCAGGCCGGGTGCTCTGGGGACAGGAGCCATGGCCACCTGGAGGCATTGGGACCTGACTTCATCAAAATGGGATGGTGGAGAGAGAAGACTCTAGCGAAGGCTGGAGAAGAGCTTACCTCCACGGTGTCCTCCGCTGTTGTGGGTCTGCACTGCTCCCCTGCCTTGAGCTGGAAAACTGGGGATGCAGCCAGAGTTGAGGTCCACTCAAAATTAAAAAAAAAAATTAAAAAAGAAAGGCACAAAGGTAGAGCCAAAAGGCCAATAGATGAATTACAATGGAGTTCTGAACTCTAAACTGGTTTAATTTGGGAGAATTTGCTTCTAGTATGGTGACTTATTAAAACTCGTCCTGGTTTGTCTGGGGCCAAGGGGTTTCCTGGGACACGAGGTGTTCAGTCCTAAAACTGGTTCAGTTCCAGGCCAGCTGGGACAGTTGGTAATTTCTAGCCCTTCAATCTGTATTATCCCCTTCCCTTAGCCAAATGTGAGCCGCTAAAGAGCAGAAGCCACACTGCTCTATATGTAGGCCCCCAACACAGGTAAGAGGACTGAATAAAGAAAATAAAGGATGCAAACTACGAAATTGTAAGTACACTACGTCCATAGAAATGGAAAACCCAAGAGCAGTCTAGAATAACTGTGTCTTAGAGCATAGCGCTATGGACGGTTTAACAAATGTTTCTCTGTTTAGTGAAATTCTTGCAATGTCATTAAATCGTTTGAATAATTACAAAGCAAATGTATTTAAAATGATAACTGTGACCGGAGAGCCCTTCCTAAGCCAGACAAGATGAGAAGGATGAGGTCATGGATAGTGAAGATGATGCTGGACCGTGGCTCTGGGTCTTCTTTTTTTAAAAAATTTTTATTTGTTTATTATTGATTGTTTTATTTTGATGGGGGTGGAGGAGGTAATTAGGTTTGTTTATTTTTAGAAGAGGTACTGGAGGTTGAACCCAGGACCTGTGCATGCTAAGCATGGCCTCTACCACTTGAGCTAACCCTTCCCCTTGGCATCTTCAATCCATGTGATTAATGAAGAACTTTTTGTCCTTGGAGACAAGGTCAGGCCACTCATGGATCCTTTCACTGGGAGCTTATGTCTAAAGACAAATTGATACCCCGCTGTCTCTTCTCTCCCCTCATCTCCAATTCTCACTTAACACCTTCTGAGCCTGCTTCTAGGTCCTTTGAATTATGTTTTTCATTAATCAAGGGGCGCAAAGGGGCAGAAGCAGGCAGGAGGGGCAGTCCTCAAAGCTGTGATGGGGGATGGAAGCAGAGCAGAGGGAGAACGCGGGTGTGAGTTCACCCGGTACACAGGCTCATTTTCAGGGTTTGGATTTTTATTTTTCCTTTTATTTTTGAAATTCCCCTCGGTGCTGCCACCTGCTGTCCCGCATGGGGAAGGGCCCAGCGGGGGCGCCTGGGCTTTCCAGATGGGGGAGGCTTTCCTGCAGCCTCGATGGGACCCAGCATTTAGAGAGGAGCTTGCTCTCTCTTGGAATCCGAACAGCCACGGGGGCAGGCTCCTGTCTTCACACAGATTGTCCTTCACGTCGGGGTTTCCGCGACCAGTGTCAGGCAAGGAGAGAGATACAGGAGAGAGGTGGCGATCGGAGGGGCTGAGGAGGCCTAAGTCAGTGGGGCTGGGATTCTGGGCTTCTGTCCTTTATTTTATTTATTTGGTGATTTTATTTTGGGAGGGGGAGGTAATAAGATTTATTTATTTTTGGACGGGGTACTGGGGATTGAACCCAGGACCTCCTGCGTGCTAAGCATGTGCTCCACCACTTGAGCTACACCCTCCTCTCCCGGGCTCCTGTTCTTGGACAGACAGAGGACTTAGGGGTAAGAGTGGCTCTGCTGGAGATGGGTCTGTCCTGCCTGCTCCCCTACCCCCAAGACAGCTCAGGTTGTGACCTTGGCTTCCATAGGTTAAGGGTACTTAGGGAGGGGCTGGGTCAACCCCAAAGGCGGGTCAGCCACTAGCCTCGCCCCTCTTGTCCACCTTCCCTACTTTGTCAGCTATCTGTCTAAAATGTCAGCTGATCCTGCCCCTCCCCAGCTTAAAGCCTTTCGGTGACTTTGCCCTCTGTCCACACAGTGAAGCCCAAGACAATTGATCCTCGGGGCAGGTTCTTCATTCATTACTGGGGCTCTGTTCACCATGCTCTGTGCTGTGTCCTCCCCTCATATGTGTTCCAGCTACACTGACGATCTTATAGCTTCCCAAACACACATGTGCTCATGTGATTCCTTGGCCAATTCCAGGTTCTTCAGTATCAGAGACAAAAAGGTAGCATAGCACAGTGGTGGAGAGAGGGTATAACTCAAGTGGTAGAGCACATGCTTAGCATGTATGAGGTCCTGGGTTCAATCCCCAGTACCTCCTCTAAGAATAAATAAGTATGTAAACCTAATTACTCCTCCCACCAAGAAAAAAAAAAGATCAGTATAGCGTAGTGGTTAAAGGGGTGGGGTCCTGGGGGAGGGAATAGCTCAGTGGTAGAGCGCATGTTTAGCATGCACGAGGTCCTGGGTTCAATCCCCAGTACATTCATTAAAAATAAATAAACCTAATTGCCTTCCCCACAAACAAACAAAAAAGGGTGGGCTCCTAATCCAGATTCAGCAGGTTCAAATCCAGGCACTGCCAATTTAGAAGCTTTGTGACTGTGGCCAGTTTATATGTAATTTCTCTGTGGCTCCAAATAGCCTCATCTGTAGAAGAAGGGTACCCATCCTCATAAGGTGGAGGGGAGGATGAAATGAATTAATAACTAAAATTCCTTGGCAAAGTACCTGGCATTTGATAAACAATAAATATCACTATTTGCTTAGAGATGCAGGAGAGCAAAATGGTTTCAACTGGGAGCAATTTTGTTCCCCAGGGGACATTTGATAATATCGGAGATTTTTGGTTTTCCCAGCTGGGGGCATGCTACTGGCATCCAGTGGACAGAGGACAGGGGTGCTGTTAAGTATTCTGCACTGCACAAGGCAGGACTTCCTGCAACAAACAATTATCTGACCCCGAAAGTCAATAGCGCTGAGGTCGAGGAAGCCTGGGTCAGATGGTCAGGCTCCTCTAGAGACGGTCTGTTTAGGTTCACATCCTGCCTCTGCCTTTTGACCTCTGGCAAGTTACTTCAATGCTCTGTTTCTTACTTTCTGTGATGGTTAATTTTATGCATCAACTTGACTAGGCCAAGAGATGCCTGGAGAACCGGTTCAACGTTATTCTTGGTGTGTCTGTGAGAGTGTTTCTGGACGAGATTAGTACTTGAATTGGTGGGCTGAGTACAGCCGATGGCCCTACCGGCTGGGTGGGCATCACTGAATCCACGGAGGGCCTGAATAGAACCGAAAGCAGAGGAAGGGAGGACTAACAAAGAAACTTCTGGCTCCAGCATCGCCATGCTGCCCTGGAGGGCTGGGGAGGGACCCAGAGATTCCTTACTCTGCGAGGTAAAGCCTGCCATCCAGATGTGGCTCTTCCCTGCCTATATGTCTGGACACCAGCTTCCCCTGTTGGTTTTCAGGATCTGCCGCTCTGTCCTCTGCAGAATCTGCCCATCAGCTTCCCACTAGCAAAGATCTGACTCTATCCACGACTTCCTCCCTGTCTCTGGAAGTGTACTCTCTCTAGTGACCCGAGGTCTTATTAATTTGGACTCGGCTGCACTTGTCCTGCTGAAGACACAGAGTAAGGTCACACACTTGTGAAAGGGGTGGGGTATCACATGAAGATGCTGGAGGTTCCTTTTATCATCACCTGGGAAGGCTGTGGGCTCTCAGACAGTACTCCAGCAGGTGGATCTTAAAGAGGAAGGAATGGGACACCTGCCTATCTCTGAACTCCACTCTCTTTAGACTTCTGGACCCTGAGATGTGGGCCTCTGGCGCTGGGTGCTCAGAAGGTGTCCAAGCTTAGAGCAAGGATGGAAGGGCCTATGACAGTGGGTGCAGACCATACCTTTTTGTGGCCAGACTGGTTTTTATTGCCCTAAGTCCCCTGCCCCCAGTGCTTTTGCCAGCTACTGAGGCTACGATGCTAGGATGAGGGCCATTTTGATGGAACTCAGAGTTGAGAACATGTGTTAGTTACCTGTTGTTGTGTAATAGGTCGCTTGCACACTTAGCAGTTTAAAACAGCAAACGTGTATTATTGACATAGTTTCTGAGGGTCAGGAATCCAGAAGCAGCTTAGATGGGTCGTTTTGGCTCAGGATCTCTCACAGTCAAGGTGTTGGCCACGGTCATCTGAAGGTTTGACTGGGGCTGGAGGGTCTGCTTCCAAGGTGGTTCACTCACATAGCTGTGAGCTGGAGGCCCCAGTTCCCTGCCACATGGCCCTCTTCTTAGGACATTTGAGTGTCCTGGTAACAAGCAAGTGGCTTCCCCCAGAGTGATCTAAGATAGAAAGAGCAAAGCAGAGGCCAAAATGTCTTTAAATGGTTTGATTTGATTTGATTGTGGTAAAAGCGCTTAACATGAGATCTACCCTCAACAAAATGTTAGGTGTGCCACACAGTACTGCCAACTCCAGGCACAATGTCTTTTATAATCTGGCCTTGGAAGTACCACGACATCTATCACTGCTGCCATGTTCTACTGGGCCCCCAGACCACCCCTGATACAGTGTGGGAAGGGACAGCACAAGGAAGGGAGTTCCGGGAAGCAGGGATCCTTGGGGGCCGTCCTGGGGGCTGGCGACCACAGAAGTAGACATATGATTTTAGTACGATACATGCAGAAGATCGGCTAGCAGGACATTGTCTTTGCAGGGAACGGTTGTATTTCAGACGCATTAACCTGAAGCCAGAGTGCCTCTGGGGCTCTGACCCTCTCCTCCTCATCCCTGACATCTGAAGGACTCCTTCACCACCCCATCAAGTCGCAGGACTGCACAGATCAAAGCATGACCTACAGGGGACCAAACGTAAGAGGAGGTGGAGCTTTGGGAGGACAGCAAAGGATTAAAAAGGACCCAGAAGCTGTTGAAAAGGAGGAGGGTGGGCAAGAAGGAGAAGCCCCAGAGAGGATGCCCTTTCCAACCTTGGGAGGGTAACCACAGTGTGAGTCCCGAGAATCTAGGACGGCAGTCCCACACCAGCACGTTGTCCAAGGGGACAAGTTCAGAGGCTGGAGATTTCAGTTCCAGAGCTCCCACACCCCCGCGGCTTTGTGTGGACTCTCAAGCCTGAGATAAAGTCCTTTAGTAAAGGACTCTTTAAACATACTGTGTATGTGCCTGGCTTGCTAATAGCGGGCTGTTCTGCTCTGGCCTGCACCATCCCTTCCTCTGACAATAAGGAGTTTATGGGTGACGCTGCACTTGGACCTCAGATGATTGACTGCTATAATGCTCTCTGTTCTAGTTCCCTTTGTTTCCTCCAAGACTTTAACAAACCCTTATTTAAATGGTGCCCTCTTGTCCCATAGCGCTACTCACAAAGGAAGGAGGGGTGGTGAGTGGCAGTGGCCATTAGTGGGGCTTGGCGACCCAGCTGCCCCTTCCCATGTTGAGGTTCTCTCTCCACTGGGGATCTCGCAGGATAGGCAATGGTTACACTAAGAATGACAGCAGTTTCCTTACAGCTGGGTCAAGGACAACGAGCAAGGCTTCTCTGCAGACAGCTGCCAAGGGGAGGGGGCGGGTGGGCAAGGCAGGATTGTAAGTAGATCAGTCACAGAATGTCAAGGCCAAACAGACCAGTCCTGCAAGGAGAAAAAGGCACAGAAGTGAAATAATTTGCCCAAGATCGCACAGCGAGGCAGCGACAGTACCTCTGAAAGCAGCGCTCTGAGCTCTGCCTCGCCCGTCCACCTAGGACAGTGGGACAAGGAATAAACCATGGCTCCTGTTACAGGCAGAGAGGGAGGAAAGAGAGGCGGTGCCGGGTCTCAGCAGTCTAGAAAGGCCTCATGGACAGAATCGTGGGGATCCACATATGTGTGTGGAAGGAAAACCATGCAGATTCCTGGCTCATCTGTGGGGCAGGTAGGACTGGGGAGGCCCAAACTGGGGCTCAAATGGCGGGGTCACCGGAGTGTAGAAAGATGGCAGGGGTGTCCGAGGCTGGAGGGTGGTGGCCTCCTGGGCAGGGTGGGGACGCTGGCTGGTGTCGGCATCCAGGAGGAAGAAGGGCGATGAGGCAGGGGGGCAGGAGAAAGTGGCTGCACCTGCAGCTGGTGGCTGGAGGATGCCGGGTCCAGACGGAGCCCCTGCCCGGGGGTCCAGCGTTCTGGGGCTGGGCCCCTGTCCCACCATCAGCTCCCTCCCTCCCGCCTTGAAGCCTCCTCTCAGCTGGTGGGGAGGTGACTGTGGTTGTGGCAGGAGCAGAAGTAGCGGCCCAGATGCTGGCCTGGGCTGGGACACTTGTCCTCGGCACGGTGGAGGCGGGGGTGCCTGCAGGATACAGTGAGAGATTCCGGTTCTGGAGCCCGAGTCGGGGCAACACTCCTCTCCATCCATCACCTCCAGACGTTTTACCTGCCTAGATGAGTAAAGATGCCCCTGCCATCTTGGACAGCCAAGGTGAGGCCGTACTGTCTGGAAATCTCCCGCACCAGTCATACCGTGGTGTAAATACAAGCCCCGTGTGACCTCGGGATGTGGGCGATGGGGCCTCGTCCTTAACGGCAGCAAACAAGGCTTTGCATCCAGTTAACAGAATTTCAGTCAAGTGAAGATGTAGGCGATGATGAAAACAGCGATAGCTAACATTCCTCAGTGCATCCTCTCTCCCAGGTACTGCGCCGAGCACGTTGACCTAGAAACGTCACAGCACTCCTGGGGGAAGGAAGTGCTCTCGGTAGTGCCTTGTGTGACCGGCACATGTGGCTCGTTTACTGAGGGTTAGCGGATAAGAGGTGGCTGTCTGACACCAGGGCCTACTAACCTGACCTCTGGGTAATACTCTCCCCCAATTTTGGGTGCCATTTCGGTTCATCTAGAGCCTCTGAGGCAAGTGGTTAACCATGAACCCAATGGCCTGGCTCTGCTGGTGACCCTCTGCTTGGGCACTGCCCATGGGGGACAGAACGGAGGCTCCTAGGGACGCCCCTCTCTTAGTGGCCAGACTGGGAGTGAGGGCAGGGGGAGGTGAGACTTGGGACTGGGTTGGCGGGGGTGGGGGGAGGCTGGAGCCTCACCCCCAGACAGATGGTGGGCCGGCAAGTCCTTGAGAAGCAGAGGTTCCCTGTTCCTGGTGGAAGGGTGAGTGTGGTGGCAGATCAGCTCCATCTCAGGCCCCTGGAACCTAAGTGGCCTCTGGTGAGGGTGGGTATTCAGCATGGAGCACAGGAGCCCACAGAGCTGGCCCAGAGCCATCTGTTGGCTGAGATCTTGGGGCAAGGAGGAGGAGAGGGAGGGGGAAGAGGGGGAGGGCCTGGGAGGTGCTGGTCAGGCAGGGCTACTGCTTGAGGTCTTGCTCCCATCTTTGTTTCCTTCTTTCTGCCCTCCACGCAAACCCAGCTTGGCTACATCAGTCCTTCACAGAGCCCTTTGATTTTCCCATCAAGTCCCTTCACCCACCTCCTGCTGTACCTGCAGGGTCTCCCCCATCCTGCCTGCTCATAATCATGGACACAGCTCTGGGGTGGCTCCAGGTCAGTCCTGGGGACCCTGATAGCAAGGGTGCTGTCATGACTGAGGGGGTTATGGTGGGGGAAGTTGGGGGAGACGCTCTAGAGAGCTGGGTGGTGGTCCTCAGGCTGGGCAGGAGCAGCACTCTCCAGAGGAGGAAGAGCCCCTGGAAGGCCGGAGGGGAGGGGCAGCCACAGTCAGGGACAGCCTCACAGCCACATCTTCATCCTCAGCCACATCAAGGACTGCAGGCCCCTCACTGACCTTTGGGGACTTAAGCCTAGACCAGATGGGGTTCTCACTTCTTAAGGAATCACATTTGGGTGGGGGAAAGGGGCCGGGTCTCTGTTCTCTCTTGGGATCCTAGGATTTGCAGTGGCCTCCGAGGGTCCCTGGCTGTTACAGGATCAGCTCCTGTCTGGGATGACTCTGTGCTTTGCAGGTGAGGAATTTCCCACTTCCGCCTTAGCTCCCCTTTCAACATGCAGGTCTGGGCACGTGGGGTGGGGGCATGTGGGAGATGGTGGCAGAGGTGAGGGGGCCACTGGGGACGGATACATGGCTAGACTTGGTTGTTCCTGCCTTCTCTGGGGCTGCTACCAGAACGTGGAGTCCTTGGGCAGCACGTGGTCCTCTGCTTCAGAGGACACAGCCCTGCTCCTGACCTCCCGTCCACGTTAGCTGGTTTCTTCTGAGCAGAGGGGTCTGGATTGGCCTAAAGACTCAAGGCTAAAGGGCCATTGGAGCTCAGGCTGGAAGGTTGCTTGTGACCATTTGGTGCTACCTGGGTTGGCGGACTGCGAGGGGGCAGGGGCCCGGCACAGGGCTGGCTCAGAAGAGTGCAGTTGCTCCATCTCATGTGGGAATAACATTTTGGATTCCTCATCATCTCTCTGGGGCCTAAGACTCTGGACCACAAGGCTAAAGTTGGTCCTGGGATCACAGCTGTGTGTGCTTCTGGAAGGGCTGGGGGGGACACACCCATCGGAGGCATTGCCCCCCACCTTGCCTTTTCTTCCCTACAGGTCAGTGCCCCTGGTGGCCATCTCTTCCATTTGAGGATGAGTGGTGCAGCCTGATTTGAATGAAGGGTAGGGTCCTGTCAGGGTGGGCATGCGGGATGGGAAGTGCGTGTGCGTGTGCGTGTGTGTGTGTGCGTGCGCGCGTGGTTTGGGGTGAGGCAGGGACGGCAACTCCAGCAGGGTGCTGGAGGAGGGAGGACTGGACGCGGTGGGCCTCTGGCTCCCACTGCAGCGAGCAGTGCCCCCTGCAGCCCACAGGGGAACCGGCAGGCCCGGCTTCCCGAGTCTGGGTGGGTCCTGCTCCTGTCCCCTTGGACATGCCCCGAAGCAGCTCTGTCCTCCTCCAGTAATTTGTCTTCCTTTGGGGTCTCCACGCTTCTTGTTGGATTCTGGCTCCTGGAGGGGGGGGGGTCGAGAGGAGGATGTGGACCTGCAGGAGGGAGGGAGTGGTTGCTCATGTTAATGTCACACAAGTCTTGGGGGGTTGAGGCCACTTTCCTTTGGGTCTGACAGTCACCTTGGAGGCCCATACGCACCCCAGTGAGGGATGCTGGGCCGACCTGTGGAGCACGGAGGAGAGTCCTGTGGGGAGAGGCCTGGACATGTGCTGTGAACTCAGAGTGGCTGGGAGCTGGTGGCTCGGCAAAAAGTGAACACACGTGGAGCACCTTCCTTTGGCCTCGCTGTACCTGGGAAGGGACAGGTCGGAGGTGGCAGTCCTCGGAGCTTCGGCTGGGCGGCTTTGCAGAGAGGCTGGGTGAGGGGGAAGAAGGCCTTCAGTTTCCGCTCTGAACTCTTTTCCTAACTCATCCCAGGGCACACGTTGGGATGAGAGCTGCAGTCCTAGTTCTTGGCCGGAGCCCCAGGGACTGTGTCAAGTGCTCAGGGGCTGAGCCTCAGCAGGAAGAGGGAGCGCAGGCCAGGGGCTTTCCAGTCATGCCCTCCCCTTCCCCAGCCGGTCGGTCCCCACCCTCCCTTGGCCCTCTTCGCTCTGCTCTTATCCCACAGGACTTTTATTCTGAAAGAAGCGAGGCCCCTGGAGGTAGGGAGGGGACCAGAGGCTGCAGCTGGCCCTGGCCCTGAACAGGCCCTACCCTCCTGGGCTGTTTTCTAGGGCAGCAACTCTGGGACCCCCCGGGAGGGGCCGTGCTGTCTTCAGATCTCCCCCTTATCTTCTGTCCCCAGCCTTGCTGGACTTTAAGCAGAGGGTCCTAGAGGCCTGTTGCCTTTGCACCTACTGTCACCTTCATGCCTCCATGTCCCTCATCCTTTCAGCCCTTGACCTTGTAGCCTCCCTCTGCTTCCCTTCTCAGTCTGTCCTGGCCTTCTTGCTGCCTGTCCCTCCCAAAGCAGACATGGAGGCTAGGTCACTACCTAGAACTTCCCAGCCTCCCCAAGTCCCGGATGAAGGTCTCCCTCTTCCCCAGCACGTAGGACGCAAGCACATGACGGCCTGCGTTCGTTAGGTGTTGGTCAACATGGCCTGCTGAGCTCTGCGCGGCTGGGACTGGGCTGTGGGCGGTTTTATGAAGCCCAAGGGATTTCTCAAGAAGAAGGACAAGGAAATGGACAAAAAGACTCTCCCAGGAGCTCCCGTTTAAATTCTTGAATCTAGTCACACTTTTCCAGAAGGTCCCACAGGATAGAGTTTTCACTAATGTTCAAGGCTGAGTTCTTTCTTAGATGGAAAATAAGAGGCCAAATGAATTAAAGAGAGTTGGGATCTGTTATTCTCAAGGGCCCTTTCCCTCCTTCCTTGCCTGTTTCTTTCATCCAGGAGGCCAGACCTTGGACTGGATACGAGGTCACTGCTGGGCAGTGGGGTGTGAGAAAGAAAGGACTTTGACTTGGGGGGATGCAAGTTACAGATTAACAAGGGGAGGGGGAGGAGGGACGCAGAGGGAGGGTAAGTGACCTGAGAAAGGGACTGCTGACCTGGGACCATCTGGGCTTGAAGGGGACACAGGCAAGGAGGGTCTGGGGACCGGTGTGGCCCCAGGTTCAGGGCCCTTAGCTCCTCTCCGGCTATTTGACCTTCCTGAAGACCTGCTCGCACACTGCGTCCCTTGCAGTCAGTTCCTGGGGACAGAGTAAAGGAATGATGAGGACGGAGAAAGAAGGTTCTTGCCAGCTAGAGCCTCTTTCTCAAGGGACTTGACCTCCACTGAATCCTTCAGGATACACAGCTAGAGCGTTTGACGTATGGAGAATTGTTCCAAAGCCTCTACTTTCCGCCCGGGAGGAAGGAAGGTAGCTGGGCCAGGGAACTGAAGTGGCTCAGTCTGCACGTCTCCAGTTATGATTTATGGACATTCATCTGACTTGGACCGGGGCTCACCTTGGCCATCCAACGTCCCCCCTCTCCACTTGTCCCAGGGCTTCCGTTTTCCTTCCTTGGTTGCCTTCCTTGGAGCCGGGGGGTGGGGGGTGGGGAGCAGTAGACTTACTTGGTTTGGGCAAGGGGCTGCATGCTAGCTGGAGGCCCCTGTCCCAGATGCACCCATCTGTGCCTCCTCCCCTGCCCTCACCCAGCTCACCAGATACAGTGTCTCTCCCTCCAGCCAGTGTCTCCAACCCCGGTTGGGGACCTCCCCTTTCTGCACACATACCAGCTGCTCCTCCTCCCAAGTGACTATGGTCTGTGGGGAAAGCAGGAATAAAGGAAGACTGGTGGGGGTCAGGACACCCCAAAGGCATCTACCTCACTTTGGCTGGGCTGCCCAGCTCTTTGCACAGAGCAGATGCTGTCTTGCTCCAGCCCCTTCCTTCTGAGTGAGAGGGATGCTCTGATGCAGCAGGACTCCCCTCCCTCGCTCCTAACAGCCACTGAGGGGGCCCACAGCTTGCGACAGTGACCATTTGGGCAGAGAAGGGATGAATTGGGATAACCTGGGGGTAAAATTAGTGGCTGGGCCATGAAGAACAGAGAACTTTGTCCTCTGATACTTCTGGTTGAGCTGGAGGAGACTTTGGGAAAGAAGACAGATTGCTTGGGAGCCTACCAGGGGATCTCTTTCCTCCTCTTTCTCAGTCTCAAATGCAGCTAAAGTGTCCCTGAAAATGAAGGGCCTCCTTCCCCCACCATCAGAGCTGGGTGGGCCTGGGCATTCAAACAACATCCCTCGCACGGGATAGACCCCACTGAGCAAGGAGCTCAGAATCTCGATCAGGTAGAGGAGCCGTCCATAGGTAGTTATGCGCCAGGTAAGACTGCTGGGGCTGGGAGTGGGGAGGGAAGAGCTGAGTCTTCAAGGAAGCGAGGGGTTGATTAGATTAGAGATAACAGGAACTTTCTAGCAAGCAAAGAAGCAGCATAGTGGTAAGAAAGAAGGGCAGGCAGCTGTGGGGGCCTCTAACCCAGTGCCTATGTGGGGAGACCCTCAGATGCTGTGTGGAGTGTGAGGGCCTTATCTGGAATGTAATAGATTGCCACTGAAGGGGCGTGTAAGTCGAGGAATGACGTGGTCACTTTCATATGTTAGACAGATCCTTGTGGCCACAGCAGGCAGAGTGGGTTAGAGGAAGGTTGACAACGGGGACCAGTTCTGGGCACCAGATGAGAAATGAGGGCTTGAATTAAAGTGGTGATAGTGAGAAAGTCTAGGAAGGAACAGGGGAGGGACGTGTAAACAAGCGATATTCGATAGAAGAATAATGGTTTCTAAATGCAAGCCACGTATATAACTAAAAAATTCTCTAGTAGCCACAGTAGAATAGTGAAAAGAAACAAGTGAAATTCATCTTAATAATATACTTTATTCAGCCTAAAATATCCACAATATTACAGCCTCAACAGTAGTCAATATAAAAATTTCTGAGCTATTTTATGCTCTTTAGAATGCTTAGTGTTAATTTTTTTGGGGGGGACAATTAGGTTTATTCATGTATTTTTAATGGAGGTACTGGGGATTGGACCCAGGACCTTGTGCACGCTAAGCACATGCTCTACCCCTGACCTATTTTCTCCACTCTGATATTGTCTTTAACATCCTGTGTACATTTTACACTGATAGCACGTCTCAATTTGGACCAGTTACACTTCAAATGTTTAATATCTATATATAGCTAGTAGCTATCATATTGGACAGCACAGAAAAGTTACAAAGGCTTCTTGACCAATTACATGTGGTACACGTGTGTGTGTGTGTGTGTGTGTGTGTGTGTGTGTGTGTGTGTCTGTGTGTCTGTGTCTGTGTGTGTGTGGTGCATACAGGTAAAGGAACACAAGGTATTGACTGTGACTCCCAGGCTTTGGTCTCCTGTTAGTTTTTGCCATTGATGGAGATGGTAAATATAAAAGCAGGAATGGGTTTGCGTAGGAAGATAATGACTTTGGGTTTGACCTTGGAGCCTGCAGATGGAAAACATCTTGTGGGCAGCTGAAACTTCAGCCTGGAGCTCAAGAGGTACCTCTGGCTGGAGAATCCACGTCCAAGGCAGTTTATAGATGGTGACTGAACATAGGGGTGTAGATGATTTAGCCCATAGGTAGCATACAGAGAAAGAGAGTCAAGAACGAAATGCGAGGGAAAACCCGTGTTTAAGGGCTTAACTAAGGTCTGCAAAGGAGACTAAAGGGGACAGGCAAGCAGCAGAAGGGACAGTGTGGGAGTGAAGTTACAGAGCCTGAGGGAAAAGAGACTCTGCGGCGCCCACAGGGTCACAGGCTAGGGGGTGAGCGCAGGTCGGCTCGCTGGCCCGGGGGTGACCAGCCCTTTCTGCCCGTTTGGCTAGTGCTAAGAGGGTGCAGGGCAGAAGCAGGAGAGAGTGGGGCTGGGTGGGTTACACCGGGAGCCTATTATCCTGGGGAACCCCAGCCTGCCCTGGTCATCACCTCTCTGGCTCTGGCTGGGAGACATCCCTCTGTTCCGCCCCAAACTGTTAAGAGCCCCCTGCTCCTCCACACCCCATCCCCGCAAACCCGAGGAAAGGTACCTGGCATTTTCGTCCATCCACGACCTTTAGGTCTTCTTCAAACTCAACTCCCACCTCGAATTCCAGAACATAGTTTTGGAAGGTGCTGACGGTCTTCACTGTCATGTGGTTGCCCTGATGCTCAATCTCCTTGTCCGGCTTGAGCAGCAGTGCGATCTTCCGCAGAGCCAGGCCGATGTCTGTGGGGGCTGTCTCTTAGCGAGGGTCCTCTTAGCCAGCCGGCCAGGGGCTCCCCCACCTGCAGCCACACCTCGGGGCTGGGAGTGTCCCCTCAGCTGGGTTTACTCCCTCCTAGCAATGCCCCTGGCTAGAAACAGAGCCCAAGTCAGGTGCCGGCCCCCACCCCCACCCCAGCCCTTCTACAGTGTCCAACCCCCACGTCCCCCTCCTCAGTGGGACTGGAGGCAGGAAGAGAGAGGGGAGAAGGGGAGCGAAAGGGCTCGGGGAGGGGGAGAGCATTACTCAGGGCTTGTAGGTAGTCCTCCAAGTTCTTCTGCGAGACAAAGCGGTAGTAGCCAGTGAGGTTGGGAGGCATTGTCCAGGCTGGCCAGGAAGGAGATCACGACTCCAGGAGAATACAGGAGCTGGGGCGAGGGCGGAGAGGCGTCGTCTGACAAGCGGGGCTGGGAGACTCAGCCTCTTCACACACAGAGGCAGCTTGTGCAAAGGTCTGTGCTACCAGGGTTTTTATAGACTGGGGCCCTGTTGCAATAAGAGCTCCCACCAGACTCCCTCCCTCCCTCCACGATGAGTGTGAGGCTGGTGTCTGGAGCCCGAGAGATGGGCAGGGACTTGGCAAGTTTGTGCCTGACCTCGGCTTTTCCTGAGGAAGGAACCTGGAGCAGGATCTGGGGCTGTCAGTCAGGTAAGACTTGAGCCTCTCCCGGAGGTCAGTTTTGGCTTCTAGCCCATTTCTGGCAGACTTGGGAACCGTCCCAGAACCCGATGGGCAGGCACAGCAGGAGAGTGGGTCTTGCTGCGAGGGGCGGGTGGTGGTGGAGCTCTCCCAGGCTCGCCCAGGGATGAGTTCTAACAGTATCCTGAGCTCCTAGGGCTAAGTCAGGGATCCTAAAAGATACGAGGTGGAAGAGGTGGGGAAAGAAGGGGACAGCCAGCTGGCCCGGAGTCCCAGTGAGGGAAATTCCATGGTGCTGGCCCCCACAGCTCCCTGCGACAGCTCCTCTGAGCTGGGGCCCAACACTGGCCGGCGCTCCAGACTCTTTGTCCTACAGAGCGGTTAGGAAGGAAGCAGGGAAACTGCGAAGGGGACTGTCAGCAGCCTGATGAGGTGCTGAGTTCAAGGTCTGGAGCAGAAGGCGAGGGAGGAGTTTGGTTGGCTCTTCTGGAGAATTTTACACTCTCTGGCTCGGGACTCAGGTGCTTCCCCCTCCCTCTGGAGTCACTGATGACACCATCCCTCACCCCCCAACCCCAGCCCTTGGATGGCGGGTGTGCCCAGATGTTTCCCCATGGAGGGGGTGTGAGCCTAAATCCTCGTGCTCCCCCATCTCCGCCCCCACACACTTTTCTCTGTCTCTCAAACCTACCAACTTCCCGGCTTCAGAATTGACCAGGTTGGTTCACCATGATTTTTTTTTTCTTTTTTGGGGGGGGATTAGGTTTATTTATTTTTAATTTTTTTGAATTGGAGGCACTGGGGATTGAACCCAGGACCTGGTGCATGCTAACCAAGCACTCTACCACTGAGCTACACCCTCCTCCCACCATAATTTAAGGTGGGAAATTTGGGGAGAGGAAGGCAGGGAGGGTAGGCAGTGGGAAAAATCCCCCCTGGTGGTGAACTGTCCCGACAGGTGTTTGTGTGCATGGGCTGTATGCCACAAATATCTCCCTCCCTCTCCAGTCCCCTTCCTGCGGCCTTGCTGACCACCCCATGGCTTCCTCAGAGACCTGGGGCTGGGAGCTGAAATGCAGCATCTCTCCGGGGATCGGGCTGCGGGTTTTACTTCTAGCTTCCCTGGAGGCACACAGCAGGGACTTGCTGATGGGCTGGGCTGTGAAAAAAGGTTAATGCAGAGTTGGTGGCGGTGGTGGTGATGATGGGGTGACGTGGATACTGTCCCTCCTCGCCTCCCTCAGGTCTCCACTGACGTCTCCTCTCCCCACCCCCGGGGTTCTAGCTTCTCGAGTCTCCCCGTTTCCCTCTGATTTCCCGCCCCCTCTACGGTTTTCCAGCTTCCTCCCCAACGCCCGCAGTTCCCTTGCTCCCCCAAACTGCAGTCGGGGGGGGGAAGCCCTAACACCTCCTCCCGCCCCTGCTCCCTAGTCCCATTGGTTCCCACCCCCCCTGCAGCACCTGGCCCCCCCCGTCACCCGATTGGCCAGCGGCCCCATCAATCCTCTCCTGGCTGTGCTGACGTCATCCTGCAGCAGCGGGGATGGGGTGGGAATGAGAGAGGGAGTGAGGACGCCGGGCTCCCGGGCGAAGGAGAAGAAGCCACTGCAAGGCCCCCACCTCGGCCACCCAGGCGGGGGTCTGCCCGGGTCTGCTCTATGGACTAGCGTGCGCGGCAGACTCCTTGCGGTCTCCGCCCTGCGCCCGCGCTCTCCCCTCCCCTCCGCGGAGCGCCCCTGCATCACCCCCCAAGGTGGACGAAGCCGGCTCGAGGCTCCCGGGGGAGAGCGATCGGGCCCTGCCCCGCCCCGCCGGACCATGACCCGCCTGCTGTTGCCCCTCTTGCTGACTTCCCTGCTCCCCTCGAGCTCCTGTAACAAAGGTGAGTGAGGTGGGGGTTGGGGGCGCTGAAAGCAAGGTATCTGGCAGGGTGATGTGCGGGTCAGGGTGGGCAGGAGCCACTGAGGCTCTCTGGCACATGACAGGTGGTTTTTCAGACCATCCGCCTTCCCATCGTTTTCTCAGACCTGCCGCCTTCTCTTCTCCCTCGCATCCCCTTTGCCACATCCTCCTCTCTGGTCCATCACTACCCATGTGCTTCTCTTGCTCCGGTTTGGTCCCTAATATCATCCTGGGGTCTCTCTCCCCTCCTCCTCCAATTTCTCCCTGCTGGAGATACCTCAGGTGTCAGAGGGACTTGCCCCTGAGGGGCGAGACACATCTCTGGGGGGCTCTCCGTTTTCACTGGGCCATGCCAGCCCTAAGGGAGTGTGGCAGATCCATCTGGTCCATCTCCATCCCAGCCTGGGGAGAAACTGTTCCCTGCAGCTCAGCAATTCGGAGCACGTATGTTTTGGCGTGTTCCTCTGCATCTCTACCCTGGTGCCTGCACACAGCTGGGCTGTGGGTTACCAGAGCTGCCCTCTCTGGCAGACAGCGGATAAATTCAGCTGGGTGAGGCCATCAGCAGGACCCAGAGCAGGGCGGGGAAGAGGGCTCAGATAGGTGGAGAGGGGCAGCAGAGGGCAGAAATGGGTGTGTGGAGGTGCTAAATGAGGGGTGAGAGGAAAGGCAAGAAGGAGAAGGGAGTCGAGGTGTGGGAGGGGGTAAGAGGGGATGGATGCAGATCAAGGTGGAGGCAAAAAAGGAGAGGGGAATGAAGGGGAAGTCAGGAAGAACAGGTGGGGAGGGGAAGTCCAAGGGGAAGAGATGGAGCCCACGAGTGATTGAAAGGAGATGGACACTAGGGAAGAGTTGGTGGCCGAGAGGAGGGGGCAGGGAGACGGGGAGGGGGCAGGGTGGGGGGTGAGCTGTGCACAGCCCCCCATCCTCTCTGACCTCAGCCACTCTCAGCCTTCCTGTGCTGCCTTCTGAGCACCATCTTGTGGCTGTCTCCTTTGCCGCTAGAGAAGGGAGTTGCGGGGGTCCTCAGTAAGGAAGGGGCGGGCATTCAGGTACCAGAAGGCTTTTGGAGGGCTAGTTGGAAGAAAGACTGGAAACCAGGGTTTCTTGCTCATCATGACGTCTGGGGGTTAGTTTCCTTTGGGTGACTCAGTTTCCCTCTGATGGTATGTCTTCCTCCACCCATGTCCCTAATGGGCTGTCATGAATGTACTTTGGGAGCTTGGAGGTTGGCCTGATTCGATGGAGCGGGTAGAGGAGGTTGGGGCTGGGATGATGTAGAAGGGGCGGGAGGCCTCTGCACCTTCCCTGTAGCCCCACATCAAGCTAGTGAGAGATTGGTCCTCAGGGGGAGACATGATTGAGTTGAGTCTGGTAGGAGACGAGAGATCCGGAGGCTGAGTCCCACATCTCTCCTGGATTGGAGGGTGGCTGAAGGGAAGAGGGGAGGCAAGAATGAGGACTCAGCCATCAGTCTGTATAAAAAGTGGGGTTCAGGGAGCATGAGGTTTGATGGCCCTGTGGGGGACATAGAAATGTGCTGGTTACAAGTGTGTTCCCTTGGGTGTGAGGGTGAGAAGCAGGGAGGGGATCTGTCGTGTTTCTAGGCCAGTTCGATAATCCCTGAGGATGTCAGCTGTGCTGGGTCCAGTCATTTGGCATTGATCCCTCTGTCCCATCTCTGTCCCCCTCCCTCTGTCCTATATATTTTTCCCTGTCTCTCTTTTCTCTTCTTCCCTCTACTCTGGGAGAATGGCCTTAGGATGGGGCTTGGCTGGGAGAGGACAGGATCAGGACTGAAGTGAGGTGGTGATGGTGGAGAGGATGAACACTCAGGAGGGTCTAAGGAAACTTCTAGGCTTCTTCTTTTCCTAATCTCAACTCTGCCCTTTATCTATCCTTTCCTTTCCCCAGGGCTTTCTGGTGGCCCACCACTGCTCCCTAAATGCCCAGTGTCCACTTGAAGTCCCTAAAGAAAAGTCTCTTCTGACCATGTTTCCCAGGGGAGATGGCAGTCTCCCTCCACCCACCCCCAGGGCAGGCTGTTGCCATGGAAACTCTATCCTGCCCTAGGAGAAGACTGTGACCTCCCACAGACCTTCTGACTCCTTTCAGAGCTGATTTCTTGTCCTCAGCCCGTCCTCCTGCAATGCTTCTGCAGGGGATGGGAAGGGTGGTGACACTGGAGTGTGGTTGTCTGGGGTTTGTGGTGGTGGAGGGCCAGCTCACAGGTGCTCCCTCTTCTCCCTGGGGGGTCAGCCAACAAGCACAAGCCATGGATCGAGGCAGAATACCAGGGCATCGTCATGGAGAACGACAACACGGTCCTGCTGAACCCACCCCTCTTTGCCTTGGACAAGGATGCCCCACTGCGCTATGCAGGTAACTGGGGTGGGGGCAGGGCAAGGCCGGTGGGATGGAGAGAAGTGGGTGGGAGGCCAGGGGCAAGCGAGGAGAGGGGAGGTCCTGGGAAGGAGAGCCATGAGGACATGGGGAGGAGGATTTGGGAAAGTGGAAGAAGTGGGCTCCGTGAGGGAATGGGCAATGGTGAAGAATGGTAGTTAAGGAAAGGGAGCCAGAGAGAAGGATGTGGGCAGGCAGGGGTTAACGCATCAAAATTTTGCCAGATCTCAGACCTGGTGGCTCTGAGAGGTGGCACCTCAGGGAAACTGGGGTCTGAGCTGTATGTTTGAAAATGAACGCCTTCCGCGTGTGAGAGAAGGGCCAGGGGTTTGGGAGGAGAGGTGAACTGGGGGTCCCAGATGGTCTGGTGGTGGTGGTGGTGTTCGGGGGCAGGGGTCGAGTCTGGGAAGGAGATTCTGGAGGTGATGCAGGGACCTCAGCCTTCCTTCCCGCTCGGCCAGGTGAGATCTGTGGCTTCCGGCTCCATGGGTCGGGGGTGCCCTTTGAGGCTGT